CTTCCTCCTCCCGCTGCAGCGTTTGCTGCTGCAGCAAGAACTCATTCTGCTGCTGCCATGAGGCGGCGGGGCCCCACACCCCTGCACTCCACAGGTGTTTCTGCAGCAGCAGTTGCTGCTGCTGCTGCTGCTGCTGCTGCTGCTGCAGCTGCTGCTGCTGCAGCTGCCGTAGCGTCTCTTTGTGCTTCTCTTCTTGTTGCAGTTGTTGTAGATGCCGCTGCTGCTGCTGCTGCTGCTGCTGCTGCTGCTGCTGTTCGCTGATGTATAGCGGGTGGTAACGCAGCGGCTCTGCTGCTGCTGCTGCAGCAAAATCTACGGGATTTGATTCATCTCTTTTCCAGCTGTGCCTGCTGCTGCTGCTGCTGTTGCTGCTGCTGCTGCTGCTGCTGCTGCAGGGGGTGAAGCTGCGGCAGGGGAGTTGCTGCTGCCCCTGCGGCTCGACGAGCACTTCTCTTCCGCTGCGTGAGCTGGCAGCAGCATTCACGCGAGGCAGCAGCATCTGCTGCTGCTGCTGCTGCTGCTGCTGCTGCTGCTGCTTCTCCTGCTGCTGCTGCTGCTGCTGCTGCTGCTGCTGGTATCTGGGGGAGAGGGTATCTGAGGTCGTCGGCATGACTGGGCACTCAAAGCCTGTGCTTGCTGCTGCTTCGGTGTCAGCAGTTGTTGTGTCTGCTGCTGCTGCTGCTGCTGCTGCTGCTGCTGTTGCTGCTGTTGTTTGGTTAGCCGTTCTTTCTGTTTCATCTGCAGTTGATGTTGCTGCTGTTGCTGCTGCTGCTGCTGCTGCTGCTGCTGCTGCTGTTGCTGGCTCTGAGCCCGGCAGCAGTGAGGTGTATGTACACCTCAGCCTGCCTTCATCCTGCAGCAGCTCTGCTAGCAGCGTATCCACGTCGCTCTCTCTCTCACTCACCTCCCACAGCTGCTGCTGCTGCTGCTGCTGCTGCTGCTGCTGCTGCTGCTGCTGCTGGTGTGTCTTATGCGGTGCAGCAGCCAAGCCGTCATCACGCAGCTTTTCTAAGGACTGCTGCTGCAGCGTGAGAGAGCGCATGCAATCCGCAAGCGATACTGCTGCTGCTGCTGCTGCTGGTTTTGTCGTTGCTGCTGCTGGCTTTGCTGCTGCTGCTTCTGCTTCTGCTGCTGCTGGTCCTGCTGCTGCAGCAGTAGAAGGCCAGTCTCGAGAGACAGCAGCAGCACCCACTTCCGCCGTATCCGGAGCTCCTGTTGCTGCTGCTGCTGTTGCTGCTGCTGCAGTTGCTGCTGCTGCAGTTGCTGCTGCTGGAGGTGAGGCTTGCTGCCCACATAGCCGCGCCAGCCGCTGCTGCAGTTCGCATATTTTGTTGCGCTGCAGCAGCAGCTCTCTTGCTGTTGCTGCTGTTTCAGCAGCCGTGAGCAAGTTGCTGCTGCTTCTTCTAGAGCCTGCTGCAGCTGCAGCAGCA